ACTATTGAAATAAAAATGAAATGTTTTATTTATGCCACACTCTCTCTCTCCCTCTGTGGATAGATGGATGGATGGATGGATGGATGGATGGATGGATGGATGGATGGATAGAGCAAATGAAAATTGGGAGGGAATAAGGAATATTTTTTCTTCTACTAAATCCATTTTATTTATTAACTTTTTATCATGCCTTTCCATGAAGTGGTGCTCAACACAGTAATGCTGTCAATAAAGTAAAGCTAAAATCATGATCTGAGTATTCCACAACAAACCTATTTTAGCACTATGAAGAGAAAAATGAAATCTATAGTAGTTAAAATCTGATCAGGAACAAGCTGGTTTCAGAAGGTGATGAAGATCTTTTTTAGCAAATTAGTGCTATCAGTCGGTAATTTCATTATTTTAGTTGGTTGCCTTTTTAAAATAAATGTATGTGCTTTATATTACTGAGATATATTTAATTGTTAAAAATAACGTTATATACCATATAAAATTCACTGAAGAATTGTCAAAAATGTTTCTTAATTTTTAAAAAAATCACTTTTTCATAGTTCTCTTTTTTTTCCTTCACCAGTTAATCTGGAAGATCAGTATAACTGTTTGGACTAAGGTTTATATTTAGCTGTTTCAAAGATTTAATTAATTTAATATAATTTATTAATTTGTTATGGCCGCCTACTTCAGAAGTCTCAAGGTGGCTTACAAAATCCAAAGAACAGAAAAACAATTAAAAGAGTTAAAACCCACAGAATCAGGCAGCCCAGACTAAAACAAAGATAGGTAATATAAGTAATAAAAACCAAATATAATTTTAAAAAATACAAAAATAATTGATTAATCAATTAGAAGCTAATTGTTGGATTCACTAACTTCCAGAAGCAATTTCTTTTTTGAACACTTTTGTTTTTTTTTAACTGAAACACATCATAAGGTAGTGTTCAATACCATGTTTTTACCTTGTTTCATTATACCAATGCATTGATATAATTATTTATAGCCACTTCAAGCACATTTTTAAAATTAAAATTAAACATTTTATTCAAATGTTTATGAAACAGAACTTTGCAAGCGCCACCATAAATGTTTTATTTTTTATTTTTTTAACACATTCAGGATGCGTTAAAGAATGTTTGTTGTAATATATATCTGCATCCTCTAAAAGCATACCAACTGTTTTTTCTCAAAACTTTTTTTATTCATATACTATTATAATGAATAAATTGCCCAACTGAAAAAGCACCTGAGAGTTTTTGTTTTGTTTTTTGATTTGCTTTTTGCTCTTATGTTTCTCAGCTCAGGAATTACTTTCTCTTCATTGCATATAAAATAACAGGTTACCCCAGAGTTAGTTTTTCCTTCTTGAAGTTTCAGATTCCACTAAATCCTTTTTCTTTTTTCATATTTGATAGAAAAAACAAAGAAATGTGTTGCGAATAGGAATTCAGAGCCTTGGTTCAGTATTATGGGGTGATGATATCTGTTGTACTGAAAATCCTGAAAATATGCATAGCCTCACTAGATTTCTGTATGTTCTACGTGGCCTCCTAAGAACATCATTATCTGCCTGCATCATCACTATTCCAGCTCATCTGATCCAGGTAGGTTTAATCCAGCTACTATACTTAATCATGTTAGATACACTAAGAAAAGTTCAGTGGATTATTAGTGATCAGAACATGCTGGGGGATATGACTCAATACCCTACTTTGTTGTAGCTGTTTTCCTTTAGTAGCAGGTAATTCTCAGTTTCTCTTTATTTCATATAACCAAATTAAAATGCATTGTTTATGCTTCATTTTTTTAGCATTCCCTTCTACTTTGTAGTGACTCATGATGAATTTGATACAGAGAATTATTAGCGTAACTCCATCCTGCAGTGAGACTTTCTGCTTTCTTAGCTCCCTGCTTACTTCCAAATAGCCACTACAGATAGCAAAGGCATTCTAAAGAATGACATTGGATCTGGTGCAAGGGATTACCAAGGATAAGGAAATAGGGAAAATGGAAGATGGTGCTACATTTATGATTTGAGGTGCCTTTAATAATTTATTCTCTAGGAATTATTTTTTATCAATTAAAAAAAGACACAAGACTATCGTTTCTAAAGAGAGCACTAATATTTGCGGATCTACCAATTTGGGGTGGACTTAATGAACAATCAAAATGTCTGTTTCCAAAACCATGCCCCTCTGTCAAAAAATGATATCTTGATCCTGATTTTGTTTTAGGCTTCCAAAATGTTCTCCAATATGTTGGCAATTTAGTTTTATAATCCTGTATGTTGTCTTCATGTGTCTAGACTTTACTGTAGAAAATAATTATTTTAATAATTGTGATGCATTTGTTCCACCAGCTGAAACTTAAGAGTTTTGAGGAATGGTTAAATTTCAAGCACCTCCTCTCTGTTAAGGCATAACTTAATAGAGTGTTTAAATTGCAGAGCAAGCTGTCATTAGGAGGAGCAAAGCGTCTGAGGTTTTCCTGTATTACAGACTACTCAGTTCCCAGAGCCCTGCTGTGTAGTTGTTCCAGTCTCCAAGAAGCCTGTTAAAGAGCCCCCAAGAGCATGTGTCCAGCCCTCCGTGTTAATAGTTAATTGGTGAGGATGGCAAGATGAGAGGACAGCCGAACATGTGGTCTCCCCGTCTCAGGCACTAGTCAGACTTTTTAGTTCTAATAACAGCAGCTGCTCACATTCTCACTACTCAGCTTCTCACAACTCTGTTGCTGGGATTTGTGAGTGGATTAGAAATGTAAAAAGATCTTTGTCTAAAAGACAAACAATTTCCTTTCCCTCCCCTCTTTTATCTATGCATCTGTTTGTACAGTACTGTATTGTAAAAGTAATAGATTTGTTATTTTGGTAGCCTACCTCTCAGGAAAATTCTTTACCAGTCATGTCAGATAATTAAGATATAACTGAATAAAATCAACAAACGTAGGGTTATAAACTTTTTTTTTTAACATTAACAGTCAAAATATTGCTAATATACATAATGCAATATTTCTAAAACAAATATAACTTTACATAATCCAGAATTGTCACACTTGCTACTCCTATAAGCTTAGGCTAATAATTTCTAGTTTAAGTAGTTTACAGTATAAAGAAAAATTGATGTATTATATGGATTGATAGACTTGTTTTAAGAAATATTCCAAATCATCAACCATCAAATATTAGTTGTTAAAGAAAGGGAAACTTATAAAGTTGGTTAAACAAAGTACTTTGTTAAAAACTAAATCCAGATGGAAAAGCAATAAGTATTGCAACCAGAAATGGAACATAGACTACAAAGATCAGATTACGTTAGTGATTGTATTTGGTTGTATGGTGTTTCTTTCAACAGAGTAGCATCTGTCTATTAACACTTTCTCTTCTTTCGTCTACTTTTTTTTTAATGAGATCTGCTAAACATACCCTTCAGATGTGTTTTAGATTTAGATTCTTTTTTTATCCTGCCTTTCTTATTTTTATAATTTAACTCAAGGCAGCAAACATAACTAATATTCCTTCCTCCTATTTCCCCACAATAACAACCCTGTGAGGTGAGTTGGGCTGAGAGAGAGTTTCTTAGACCAGGCTAAATCGAAACACACAAGGGAATTCCTGGAAGCTTGGTATTCAGACAAGTCAGCCATCAACAGGCACATAGAGATAAACAACATTTACACACCATTCAAAAGAGACAATAAAAAGGAAATAAAAAGACCAGAACACCTCACCCACAATCAACACCCAGATAAGTAAGGATTAACACCAGGATTAACACTAGACAAATCATCAAGCAGTAAGCAATACTCTAATCAAGGAACTACCAACTCAGACAAACAATCAAGCAGTAAACAACAGCCTAATCTAGCAACTACCAAGAAAAAAACAACACCCCCTCCAACACTGACTGGGCAAGCTACTGTATATAAACAAAGAGCAAACCCCACTCCCTTTTAGCACTGAAGATGTTACCTAGTCAGGTAATGAAACATCTTCAAGAAAACAACCAAGCTTAGAGAACCCCAAGGACTCTACAGCATTATTTTCAGTGGCCTAGATGGTGACAGTATTCCTTTCTACTCTGCACTAGAAAGATTTTTTTCTAGAGTACAGTTAGGTCAGATCTGCCAATTTTAGAAGGAATGCTAAAAAGGATTTGGAAGAGAGATATAATATTTTTTAAAAATCTTAAAAGAACCAAAATAAGTAATGGCAAATTGTGAGCTGTGACTCAAGAAGAAAGATTGAAAAGAAATTTTTGATAGTTTTCAAATTCTTGAAAGATTTTCATAATGAGGACAAGACATTATTTGTTCTATCTACAAAAGATAAAATAAGAAACAATTTAACTATACAAAATTATACTAAGATTAGACTAAGTATTAAGAAACTTTTCTAAATTCTTATCCAACAATAGAATCAAGGGTATTAAAGACTTCCTTTAAATATAATATTTGGGAAGTTGCTTTAGAGCAAGCAGCATCTTTTTTGGACAGAAGATTTGAACAGATGAATCATTGGACATGTTCCAACTCCTATGATTCTTAGATTCATTGTAAATATGTAGCTTGAAATAAGATATAAGAAAATTGTAAGGGTATTTATTGTGTTTATGCAAGGCATAACAAGGATGAAAATTGTAATATTAAATTGTTAGATGTTTTGTCACAGTATGGTTAGTTTTTCATTTGTTCAGGCATATGGAGTATTTTGGCTGCTAAGCTAGGTAGCTCAGGCATGGAGATTAATATTACTTAGGCAGAAGGTAGAAAAAACCTGTTTTGAGATCATTCAGATGATAACAAGAAAAGGAGAGTGTGAGTCTTTAAAAGAATCAAATTAGGATTTGTTTATCTGTAGATTTGATTTGAAAATATTTTTCAAACTTTTAGATTTCAAGGATTTGTAAGTAAGGTGAGTTGATACACTTTTAAAAGCCACCAGAAAGTGTTACGTCTTTTAAATGGAATTCGATAAAACTTTAATTAAACATGTTATGCAGTACTTAAAAAAAAAAAACCTTACATAATCTTTTATTTGCTTTTTTCTGACTACCTAATTGCTTAGCTCTATTTTAGATCAGTTCTGTTAATTACATAAGAAATGCAATAAGAGGGAATGCTGCATCTTTAATGGTGTTTTTGTGTCCTATATAGTTAAGCTTTAAAGGGGAGGGGGGTAAATTAGCTTGTAACTTCTTTCTGTTCCAGACTGATGATGGAAAATAAAAGCTCTTAGCCACAAAATGTAACACTTAGAATTAATATTTAATTAGACCATCAAATTGTATACTCTGGCTGAAAGGTTCCAAAGACTTGTTAGTGCCACAATTGACCTACAAGTTTAATAATAACTCATTTCTTCAAGCAAGTGCCAGTTCAGCACAGTGGAGCCACGATAAGAAAGTCCTGAGAGATTAAAACCAAATGGCAGGCAAGGAGTCCTGGGATGGAGCCTTCTGGAAAGCTGGAAGCTGGAATAGCTGTTTTCAGCCAGGATTCGGATGAAAACAGTGGGTGAAAAAACTGATCCCTTCTGTTTTGGGAGCTTATGCAGTGTTCAAAATCCTGCAGTAGATATTTATCAAATCATTTGGTTTGAACATATTGTATCAACTTGTGTTGTAAGACAAATACAGTAATTATTAGCTTTACAATG